AAACTTATAAACAAACACACATTAAAGAACATTAAAAGACAGAAGTACGCTGAACTTCTTCACATGGACATGGTGGTGCAGATATGTTGCCTCGCTTTAGAAAATCAATATGCTAGAGACAAAGAGATTTGCTTTCAGCACCTGAAAGAGGTAAACTCATACTCCCACTTCAACTTTCTTCCACTTTCAGAACTAAAATAAAAAGAGAAACCGCCACATTTTTGTGAATTACTTAAAACTATTATCAAATCTCCTTGAACCACATACCAATCAAAACTTATGTAAATAAAATTGTTGACTAGCTACAAACATTTTTTCCCCCCCAAAAAAATCCATTTAAGAACTTTATACTGTGATGTTTCATGAATTAGTACAGGGCATAATAATACATCTTATGTAGTGGATTTTGAGTTGGCTTATAGTTGTTTCAGTAACAATTCAAGATTTAACCTAGAGCTCAATTTTACCACTGCTACTGCTCTCAGGCTATTTTTGCCAGGAATGGAGCATTCCACTCATTGTTCTTAACAGCCTGTCTGCTGCCAACTAGTAACTACTTAAGTTACTAGGTATCATTAAGGAAAATCTCTTTCAGGAACTCCTGGGAACCAAGAAGATATACTCAAATATCTGGCATTTCTAAATCCAGTTTAGGGACCATTTTAAATACTTATTAAAGGTTATACAAAAACATTATATAATAATTTCCCATTCTGCAGAATTCACAAATTACCATCCTTCTAATTATAATTAAAAAATATGGATCTTGCCAACAAAACTTAATTCTTTAAACCACAAAACTTAATTCTTCCTTCTGATGAAGCATTCATGGTATGATGTTCTTATGAGAGCAATTTAAAGCACCTGTTTTTTTAAGACTTGGCCAGAAATGCCTTAATTGATTCAAAGGGAATGTTTAATGCAAATTTTATGTATGAATTATAAATAATAGAGTTGAAATTTTATTTCCAATATATTTATTACAAATATACTTTGGATAGTTTTAATTTGAAGTTGATTATTATGACAGTGTTTTCTATCATCTGTGATTAACATATATTCATAGGTATAAGAAAAGCCAAAGGAAAGTCCAGAGTGGACTGAATAGTACTTAATAATAATTATAAAAGCCATATAACCTAGGTTAGATCCCTTCATAACTGTTGTGAATTTTTTTCCTCTTACTAATCGCCTAAATTAACTATTATATTTTAAATTTTCAACAAATGCATGAGACGCTGCTTTACTATGACACTTTTCTCCTTCTAGCAAGGTTTGGTAAAAGGTTCAACCAATTCCCTGCCCTCAAATTTCATTAATTAAAATCTCAAGGAATCATAACTCACAACCAAGTATCCCTAAAAGCTTTATAGTGACATTCTACTTTTCTGAACTTTTTAAGAAGTTGTTGATTGCTATTCAGTAGCATTAGTTTTTAAAACAACCATTTTCTTGAAAATAGAATCTGATATAAAGATAATCACAAATAGAACCTATGTGAACATTTGAATATGTTAATAATCTAAATCTAATTACTGAATGTTCATATGAATGCCAAATGAAGTTAGGCTTCATTATTTGCTTCTTAGGCTTTTATATGAGAAACAATATCTATCTAGTGACTTTTAGAAAACATCTTTCAGAACTTTGAATAGTTTATTGAAAAGGAAATATCTAGACTCTCCAATAATTTCATTCTTCATGTTGAACAAAAAGCTGCATAAGATCTTTCAAAAGCTTTTCTGAAAACTGCTCTTACTATTAAATATAGCTACAATTAGAAACTTTTTAAATATTAATTCTGACTGTAAACATAAAGAATTTTAGATTGGCTCCATTTCTTTTATTTCTAAGGAACTTAGAAATAAAAGGCATAAAAGTTTGCATGATCAAATACAATCATTTTGTGACCATACTCTCAAATTTTCTAAAGACTGTTTACCAAATTTTTGAATTAAATAATTTTTAAAATTTGGAAAAGATAATCTGGTAGAGTAGGATAAAGTTGGTGTCCAAATCCATATAATTATTTTTCTATCTCCCTGGGTTTTGAATTATATCAAATGCCAACTAAATCTTTATAAAACATTCCCTTTTATATAATACCAGCTGACATCATATGACGAACAGAAAATAAAATAATTACTATATTTTAGTTTGAGTACAAATTATAATTTTAGTTTACAAAATTATATAAACAAGTCTATTGCAGGTCCACCACATGGCAGGCACTGTCCTAGGCATGAGAACACAATGGTGACTGGACATATATGGCCCCGCCCTCTCCAAGATCCACAGTTTGCGTCTCTGAAAGGTTCTTATGCCACATAAAGTTTCATTTACATCCTGTTTGTCTGTAAAACTCTCAAATAGGTATGTGTAATGAGAATATTTACAGAACTATTTCAGGAAGTTCAATCTTGGATGATTAAATATCACTTTAAGAGAGGACAAAATGAAAAGACAGAATAAGATGCAGAAAAGTTCAGTAAACAAATTTCTCAAAATTTTATGATCTCAAATTCCTAATATTCTTTCTAGTAATTTGCATTTTTCCCTGCTGACAAAGATGCAATTATGTTCAAGTGGTTCTTTTAGTTGTATGAATTATATATCACGATGTACACAAATATATTGCTCAAACTCTTCCTTTACATTCTACAAGGAATTTTATACAATGTTTGAGGAATTCATTCACTGTTATCAGATAACTGTTGTATCATCAGTCGCATTTCCTATGAAAGGATAGAGATTTGTCATTTTAGGAAAGATACTTGGTTTTGCTATGTCCTAGTAGGGTTATTTAAATCATTATAGAATCAGATTTGGTAAAAGAAATAGATAAACTTAATTGCTTAACTAAGTTTTACCTGCAGTTTCCACCTTTGAGAAGGTAGAAAATAAAATAGAAGAAAACAAAAATATCTCATCAATAGCAATATTGAACACTGAACAAATCAATATACACAAATTCTATTTCAATATATCGCATAGCTTATATACTGCTTAATTTGAAATACACATATTTTTACGTACTTGACTACCACTGTGGTTTAAATTTTTATAAAGGGTTACAAAATAGAAATCTGTAAACAGAAGCACTCCATTATAAGAAGAACTTAATATCCTCAGTTACCACTTTTGCCAAAGCAGGTTCATAGTAAAGCATCATCTTTGGGATCACCATTCCATTTTCTCAGAAAAACTCAATATACAATGAAACTCCTCATTTTTTGTTGTTGTTTCTTTTCATGTTTTCATAATTTTGCATAAAAAATGCCATATACTCACCTCCTTGACAGAAATTAGTTTTATGGGCAGAATAGATGGTGCAGTGGCAAAACCGAGGTAATGAAAGTGGAAACATACTCCCCTGAGGGAAACTCACAGGGGTGCATGCAAAGAGTTACTGCACTGTTATCTGGCATGCCAATGGCAGAATTCTTAACTTTATAATGATAAACAAACAAACAAACAAAAAACAAACACGATTGCATGCGCACCGCAATCCTGAACTACAGGGGAAGTATTCAAAAAGATTTGTATGCTAGAAACATAACTTGTCTTATAAAACCATGAACTTTCCCATAGTAACTTTTAATACATTTTGACATCATTTTAAACAAACATACTCATAAATAATGCTACTGAATGTTATTTGAAAAATAGTGAGTTTTTTCTTTTGACAAGGGGATTATTATGGAATTTTTAATATACTAAGATATAAACCTATTTTTGATAATCATCACTAACATTATATTCAAACAGATATCTTTATTTTAATATATACTTCTATCCATTACCAGAAATACCACATTTGTGGTATAAGTTATTAGCAAATTAAATGGGTTTAAAATTTTTTATAGTGTTCATTACTACTGTTTTGGTTTCTTAAGCAAATTTGGTCAACTAAATCATTAATACATTTGGAATGAGTTAAAAACAGAATATTTCAAGTAGACATGCATGTACAAATTAAACTGGAAATTTACTTTAAAGTTGTATCACTCTATATTTTTATGCAGACATTTTAATTGTATCATTTCCTACCATCTAATTGTATGCTTTTAAATTTACACTAATTACAAGTACAAACAGGCATGATTGAGAGACCAGTTGTAGAAAAAGCCCTTATGCCAAAATAAATATATTAAAAAAGTAAAGCCCATGTGTAAAGTTGTTCTCACTTTTTTTGGCATAGAAATATAGCATTGGAGGTGTTAATAAAATACTTAATAGGATTGGAACACATTACTGGTTAAAAAAAAAATCTGTGTGTGTGAGAGAGACAGACAGACACAGAGAGACCTAGAAATATTTACACTATGTACATTTCAGGCTTGAAAGAACAAAGGAAATCGAATCAAAGTAAAATATTAATAAGGATTAAGGAGGACAACTGTTTGAATCATCCTTTAGTGCCTAAAACCACCTAAACTTCGCAAAGATTTTGAAAGAATCAGCTCATGAAAAGTTTCTCCACTGGGCATTTTCACTTCAGGAAATGTTCAAGTTCCAGGATTGCCCTACTTTAGGGGAGCCAGAGCATTGTTTCAGGCTTATATCAGCATCTGTGTTTTTCATTCTAATTAATGGTTAATGAATTTGACTTATATCTTCATCAAAATTTTAACTCTTCCTATAACACACTAAAATTCTGGCTGAAGCAAAATGAAACTTGCCAGCCCACTACTCTCAAATATACAAGGCAACACAGAGAGAGATTTGGGTGATGCTAGCTATGGAACAATGGCTGGCCAAAGTGGGGGAAATAAGTTAAAATAATCGTTATCTTCAGAGATCCTTGCCCTGGCCACTGCAGTCATTGTTACAGAAACAATATCCTCACCAGTTAGGTATAAATACAATACCTAACTCCTTAGGCCTTTGTCCCCCAAGAACAATTTTCATCAAAATCTAACTGGAAAAACAAAACAAAACAAAACAAAACCCTGCATACTTTTACACAAACTCTCGAGCACACGCACGCTGGACTTTACCTGTTTTTATGCCGAGTCTTTAGCAAGTTTCTTCCAAAGGGAGCCATGGTCCAACAGGCAATGGAACAGAAAGGACCTTATCTCAAAGTTATCTGAGGGTAGGGGGTGGTGGTATCTGGATTTCTAGAGTAAAGGGAGGAGGATTGGAAGCCTCCTCTTCACCTCCTCAGATGTTCCTCGCTTTCAGCTCATTAGTAACCGGCTACGAGAGTTGCTGGAAGTTGTGCAACTGCTGCTTTGCTTGGAACTGCGAGGTTGTTGTGGCTGCTGCACCTTTGGAGACCTGCCCAGCTTCAGCCTCCAAGAAGGCCTTTGAAGGCAGGAAAAGAAAAAAAAAGAGAGAGAGGAAGGGAGGGGGACTCTATTGTGTTCTGTACTTATTTGCAGACTTGCTAAACTTCAAGGACTGCCAACCCCACAGGCAGGGTAATACCCATGGAATGGGAATTTCACTCCATTTGGAAAACCCCCTCCCTTCCTTCCACACCCAACCACACAAGGTGAACTGAACTTACCTAAAAGAATTAAAAGTAAATACCCCACCTCCCAGCTGCTCCAGTCTGTGAAAAGTAACCTGATCGTGGCAAGCAGGAGTCAGGGCCTAGAACTCTTTGCCTACGGATTCGGTACGAAAAACCCCCGCCCGGGTGTCAGTGCTGTAAAATATGCGGAGGAGGAGCGAAGCTGGAGAGTCCAGGTGGTCACTGGCCACTTGGGAATCTGAGTCTCCGACTTCATGATCCTGAGGGCTTGCCCCACCTCCAGTCCTACACACTCTTTTCGGTTCGTATTCCAACCAAAAGGTTCCCGATCACAGCCTTGGGCTAGGAACCAGCCGGGGTTGGGGTCCGACTTCCCCGGCATTTACACCAGCCTCTAACCCCTCTTTGGCATTTACTGGGCCTTTGGGGACGTGGGAGTCTGAAGGAAGAGCCAACAATTTGCTCCCGCCCCCTACTCAACTAGTAAAATGGCAGTACGCGCCTGGAGGATTTCGTGGAACTCCAAGCGTGCAGTAGAGGTCGAGGGGAAGGCAGGCATCACCGGCTCCCACGCGAGCTCGATCGCACTACCCTGGGAGCCGGGCAGAGCTGGGCGAGGGGGCGCGAGTGCGGGCTGCTAGCTGAGCGCCGAGGGAGCTCCCCTAAGCCCCCGATGCCGTGGGAAAGAGCGGTCCGGACAAGAGTGCCTGCAGTTTCCCCAGGACGTTCCACCCCCTCGCCCCCCGTGGCATTTCGCCCTTCTAATTTCCCTCCTCCTGCCCCTTCTACTCTTCGCTAAGTAACGCTTCTTAATCTTTGGCTTCCACGGCAAAGGGAGAGGGGAAAAAGAAGTCAGAGGACTGTGGGCTGAATCACACTTCAGACTAATGGACCTCTGGACCTTGGCAGAGAACGTGACGTCTCACACTTTCTTTGGGAGCCCGACTCCCATCCCCAACAACATCAAACACACAAGCGCACACAAAAAAGCGATCTTAAAAATTGCTATGGTTTTATAGGTACTGATTTATTCAGGATTCTGCAGAGCTCAAAGAAATCAACTTTCCAATGGCTGCTATAATTCTTCTCCAGTCCTCTGTATTGTATATTTCTATATGTATATATACATATATGTATTTTACACGTTATTTAAAATGTATTGTTTATAGTTGTACATACTGTATATAAGCCATATATTATATATATATATTCCTAAGTGTTACAAATTAGAAAACATTATAATAGCCAATGCTTTAATTCAATTACTTTTTTTCTAGTCCTGGAAGATAGATAATTTTGAAAAATACCCATTTTTTAAATGAGTCTATAGTAATAATACCAAAGAAAACCTTTAAAACACGAAAAGTAGAAATGGCTTATTTTGTTTTACAAGCTTGTGTGTGTGTATATGTATTCATATACATTTGTTTGTGTGTACACACACACACACTTGTTGAAGGACCGGAGAACTCCTGATCGCAGCATCAGCATAGGGCCAGCCGGGTTCCTACATTATGTAATCACATACACACTTTGCATGCAATATGAATAACATAAGCCTGGGTATACATGAGTTTCAGTTCTTGGTTTTATTTTACAAGCACATAACAAAAATGATTTAACCTATTATGGAATATTGCCCAGTTATTCTAAGTTGTTCTAAACATAATCCTCTAAAGACATGCTGTTTACTTATTAATATAATGCCTGCAGTCAATTTGCAAAGAATTTCATATTTACAAATATCTCGTTTCCTGTAGTTTCAGTTCTCCACCCTTATTAAGATTATTTGTATATATAGTTTTCATATAAAACATTTTTCACTAAGGAAATTTTAATGGAACAAGAGGAAACAACATTACAGCTTTATTAGTATATTTGTAATCTTATGTTGAGTTTCAGGTTAGCATAAATGAGTCTCATTTATGATGTTGTTATTCCTCACATAAAATATTCTATTAATACTGTTCAGTGACATGCTCTTTGATGTGTAAGAATTAAACACAAGGGTTAATGTTCCTCTGATATTAAAAGCTAAAAGGATATAAAACATGGGCACTAGTATCTAAATAGAAAAAATGAGCAAATAACAATTTTAAAATAAAATAACAAAACCATGCTTTTAAAAAATTCAACGTGACTAGTAACCAGATATTGTACAGGCAAATCAAAATGAGATTTCATTTTGCCTCTACCAAACTGCCTGATTTTTAAAATGATGATGCTGAACTCTTTTCAGTATGATGATCAGAGTATACTACTCTACATGAGTAGTAGTACAGATTGACATAACTTTGTAGGAATGAATTTGTCTATGTACATCAATATCATTCAAAATATTTAAACTCTTTTATCCAAGTTTATTCTCATAAGAGTTTTCTTACAAGGAAATAATCAGTTTCAAAAAATCCTTATGTTTATTGATACTCATTTGAGAACTAAGTGAAATATGGCATACAAGCATTGACAAAGTATTAGACAAAGTGCTATTTTTTTAAACAGGGAAGGTAGCAAAGAGAATACTATAAAAAATTACCCCAACTTAAAAATAAAGCAAACTAATGACTGTATACCTTTTCAATGATATAGCAGAACATTGTATAATATTTCCTCCCAAACATTATTCACTTCTTTGGAAGAAGGCATTTTTTAAATGTACTTTTTTTACTATTAGTTAGGCACATACTCTGAAAACTTAGACATTAAATTGAAAAAAGAATAGTTGAAAATAATTTTTGTTCCGGAGTGATACAAATGTCTTTTATTCAGTAGAAAGATAACTCATAAGATTATGGCTTTATTGACCTATAAGACATCACCAATTTTATATCTAAATTTTATTTCAGCATTCTTTCTTTAATTCACTAATTATATATAGCAGTCTTTCTTATCCTCTTTTGGATCAGCTTTATAATTTTGCTGGATCCCTCATTAATAAATTAAACCAATCTTTGAGCCTACAATATATTTGTATGAGATTCATACATCTCAGATATTTTAAAAATTATACTTTTAAAAACTCAGAATGCATCAGTCTTTTCTGAACAGATAGGAAATCTTCATAGAAGAAAGATTGTGTATAATCCCTACCTTTCTTAGAAGACAAAATGTGTAAAATAAGTTTTGAAGGTAGAAAATAGTTAAAATGTCCTTTTGCTCATCCATGAGTTAGAAGCCCAACCAAAAGAAATAGAAAATGCATATCTCCTTATATATTTATTTTTAAAAAGTTTTTTATTGTTCAATTTTTCCTTATATACTTAAATTAACAGGAAAAGTAAACATAGAAGATGGTACATTACACTTGATAATGAAGGAATGAGTGAATATTTTTCTCAATCAAATGAAAATTATTTAATTTGTGCTTGAGTTGATCTCAAAAGCTAAAAAGCGTTAAAACATGCATTCTGATAAAAACTTGTTTTTTTGTGGTTTTTTTTGGAGGGGGATGGGGCCTCTGCTTTATTTAGAACATCAAAAATGACATTTTTACAGAATGGGAATCATAACATTACACAACAAAGTATAGCTGTAAAATCTCAAGTCAGGCAACACTTTTTTTTAGGTCACCAAAAATAAGGTTTTATAGAAATGGAACTGTAGCAAGAAAATGTATAGCCACAAATTTTCTTTGCCTCCAATATCAATTTAAAAAAGCATTTTTTAAAAATTTTCTTTTGCCTCCAATATCAATTTCTTTTGCCTCCAATATCAATTGATATTCCAAAGGAAATATCAATTTCCTTTGCACTATCCAAGCAAAACTAAAATTTGTTGGACAGAGTTGCTTTATATTATCATAAGAATGAAAACAGTTTGCAAAACAATTTAGCTTAGTGCTAATAAATAACTAAAAAAATGTGGTTGTTGCTAATAACGTCCACTGGGAACGTAGCTCTTCTTTCCCTGCTGTTACAGAGGAGTGTACAGTGGCGAGGGTGACGTGTTGACGGGGACCGTTCAGGTACCAAGGAAGTGCTCTTTCACAGAAAAAACTATAGTATGTAACAACTCAAATAACAGGACCTGCAATGCTAAAGCCTCCCTGGCCCCTTGGTGGGCATCCCATCTCCATTTCCCCAGTTCTCCACTGGGGGCCTAGTGTGCAACGCTACGCCGAGAAACTCTTCTTCCAGGGCCATGGAAGCTTGAATAAATCGCCCTGTGATTCTTCGTGCGGTAATGTGCCTCACAAGCAGCCACCTAGGCAGACTCAGGGAAGAAGTGGTCATGTTACTCTGCTAAAAACCTCAGAAAGAGATCAAACTGCTCCAGTAAATCCTTCAAAGTCTTCTCAGAAAAAGACACTTCCCAAGGATTTCTGAAAGTTTCACTAACAATCGCGCCATTGTGCCCCGTAAATGTAAGAGGGTAGAGCCGGCTGGTCACTTGGAAAGTGACTGTCAGGTACAAGTTTCCAAGCAGGACCTCATTTATTTCATTAGTTCTTCTGCCCTCAAATCTGGCAAACACCGCTCTCACTTTCTTGCTAGGGGTCCCAGGAGCAGGTGAAGACGATCTGTTGTGCACAAGTGTCTTCTAGGCCCAGAACAGCCTGGGCATGCTGGTGTAGGTGTCCTGCCGAAGGCTCTGG